GCAACCGTGGATCGAACCGGTGCTGCAGAGGCTGCGGGCAGCTTCGCAACCCAGTGTTCAACTGCTGTGCCACCGGGGAGGTCCAGGTTTTATTTTTAATGAAGGTCAATTTATCTATTTTTCTTTGCTTGTTTGTGCTGTTGGTGTGTATTAAAGAAACTATTACTAAATCCAAGGTCATTAAGATTTACACTTGTTTTCTTCCAACAGTTTTATAGTTCTAGCTCTTACACTAGCGTTTTGATCCATGCTGAGTTGATTTTTGTATACAGTGCAAGACAGAGGTCCAACTTCATTTACTGGCATCTCCAGTTTCAAGGAACTATTTAAGGACCTTGGCCTTGGCACTCCTGTCAAAAACTAATTTGCTATAAATGTGAGGGTTTATTTCTGGTCTCTCAGTTCTATACCACTGATCTACATGTCACTCTTAATGACACTGTCTCCATTACTTAAGTTTGGAAATAAGTTTTGAAATTCGGGAGTGTTATTCTTCCAAATTTGTCCTTTGTTTTCAAAATTGTTTTGGCATTCTGGGGTTTCATGCAATTTCATATGAATTTTAGCACCAGCTGGTCCATCTTTCCCTCTCGCTTAGTTTTTCTCTCCTCATATTTCTAACACACTGCCTGGGTGGTTTGGGTTTGGAGAGGGAGGCAGGGACTGTGTGACCATAAGCCAGGTACTTTACCTCTCAGTGCAATGAAATTAATAATATCTGCTCCACAGGGTCATATTGCAAAGATGAGATTCAATGTTATAATACAGTAAAGCTCACCAAAGAGCCTATGGATTGTTTAATCAGTTCATGAGCTTATTAGCAACTTGTAACAAAACAACAAAAATAAGAATTTGGCCACCATTTATGAGGGACTTGATCCGGGCTAGACAGGGAGCCAAGCACTTGATACCAATCATCCTATTCAATCCTCATAATAACCAAAGAGGTAGGTATTATTTCCTTTAGATGAGGACATTCAGTGAGGGCTGGAGGAGTCAAGTTAGGCTGGTCACACAGCTAAAGAGCTGAGCTAAGATTTCAGTCCTGGCTGGTGACTGTCAGGTCCAGAAGGTGGCCCTACATGGTGATGGCTACTAGCCAGTCTTCTAAGGGTTTAAGGAGAGGCTTTCAAAAGTGGGTTCTGGGCTGATTTCCAAGAAGTAGGTCTTAGGAAACCTTCAGGTGTTCTTACCCACGACCTGGCATGCCCTGGGGTAGAGGAATGGTATCTCAATGGGGAGTGCCTCAGATTCTGCATCTTTCTCTCTTCTAGCCTCGTAAGGTGGATTTAATGTTCCAAGTAGAGTCAAACTGCATCTTCCCAGGGCCCCTGCCCCAGCCCTTCACTGTTCCTCCTCTGGACGGCTACTCCAGGCAGCTTCCCTAGCTCTACCGCTTTCCTACCTCTCCTGCCAGTGCATCCAGTTACATCACCAAGCCACAGATTTGACCTTGTGAAATGCACCGCAAAGCTGTGGGTTGTGCCACCACCTCAAGATCAAGATCAAGGCTGAACTCCAAGGATGAGAAACACCAGTGAGCTTGAATTTAGATAGAACTTAGTTCAAATGTCAGCACCATCCTTTTCTGACCCCTAAACTTCAGTTTCCTTGCATATAAAATGGAGAGAATTCATGGAGCTGAGGGGCTTAAGATACCAATTTCGTAGGCAAGTTGGGCTCTGCCCGCCTGCTGCCCCTCCTCCTGTCCTGACAGCACCAGCCTTTGCCTGTGGTCTCCTTTTGCACTGTTTAGAGCCACCATCCAATGCTCCCTTTCAGCTCTTCACATATTTGAAGTCATTTCTTTTGCAAGCTAACAGTCCACTCCTTCCAATTCTTCTCATTGGAATGTGCCTTTTTGTCCCCTCGCCCCCCTTTGGCTCACCCCAAGTTTAGTGGTCCAGCTTCACAGCTTTAGGTCCTTTGCTACATCATTGTTCACAGCGTGGCTCAGCCGGGAGGGGCCCAGGACAGCGGCCCCTGCTGCCCTTGTGTGGGGCAGGGCGAGGGCTCCCTTCTCTCTGCTTCCTGTACCTTCTCCTCTTTTCCCAGGTGCTCATTCTTCTCCCAGCCCTCTACTGCCTCCTCTCCAGGGTCTGCTTCAAGGTCCGTGTGAGGAAGAAAGGCCCTCAGAGATCACCTTGACCGGACAGGTTTCCCAGACTTAGGATATTCTTGAGCCACCGTCACCACTTCGGTCCCACGCATAGCATTTATTCTGCAATTTTTCTTTTTGGTCAACTCATATTTTTGACTCTGAGAAAATTACTACCAGAAATAGGAAACCCCCTATCAGAGAGGGCAACCATAACAAGACATGTTTAGATGAAAATGAACAATGGCCACGCGTGTGTCCCCCCTAATGGTGCAATCCCCGCACTAGGGGGGAGCAGCTCTGGCCACCGCCTCACTTGTGGGCAGAGGAGGAGCCACCACTGGCAGGGGCAGCTCTGCTCAAGAGCCAGGCTTGGGGGTAGGGCCAGTCTCACTTCCCTCTCTCTCTCCCTCCAGCCCCTCATTCCCTTCCCATCTGCCCTCTGTACCTGCTGTCCTGCACACCACCACCCCCAACTTCCTGGTCCTCCCATTCCTTTTTGTTCCTTCTGCTTCTTACCCCCTCCATCCCTTTCTAATCTGCTTTCCTAGAAATCCTCCACCTACTCTTCCTTGACAATCACTCTGGCTATTGGCTCAGGCAAGTGAGAGTGCCCATTCCCCCTGGGAACCAGGATACATGGTTCTGCAGTGGTGTTAGTCACTTAGGCTTTGTAGATTTCATTGTCTCCCTTTGCGAAATAGGGCTGGTAAAACCTGCCCTGCCTACTTCCCTGGGCAGAGCATGAAGATTGTTTTCTTTTTTTGAAGGCCTCAGAAAAGCATCTAAAGGGCATTCGTTACTCAGGGTGGGGAGAAATCTTCACCGCAAGTCCTCCCACTCAGTGACCTCCCGCCTTCCCACTCTGGTTGCAACATGGGGCAGCAATGGCTTCTCCTTGTGCCACCCGCCGGCTCAGCTCTGTCTCCTGCATGCTGTCATGCCTGCACTTCTCCCTTCTCTGACGCACCCCACTCCCAGGCTGCACCGAGTAAGGAAACCCAGACAGAAGACAGGCTATCCCCTCTGAGTTGGTGAGGAGTAAATATAGAATGGGGTGTCAAAATAGAATCATGCAAATCCCTAATGAGTAAAGGGCTTCTCCTTCAGTGCTCCCCGTGCTCTGCCCAGTGAGCAGTGATGTTGCTGATGAGACAAAGGTGCGATATCATGAGCTCATGAGTAGGGCTCCAGCATTTTCCACTCTGTAAAGAAGGCTAGTGTCGCTGGCCTCCTGACATGGGTCTGCCCCAGCAGAGGACCAGGTGGCCTGCCCCTTGGCCACAGGCTGACCCCAGTCACCCAGGTGGAGTCCCTGGGTGGCCCGGGACTCCCTGGTCCAGAGGCCGGTAACTCAGATTTTCTCCATCGTCCTATAAACACTGGCCCTGGGACAGGTGAGCTTCTCCAGACTTGGTGCATATGGAAATGAGGCAATGACCTCAGGATGCTCATGTTCAAGCGGGAGACACTAATACAGAACCTGCAGTCACCAGGGTGACAGGTGCGTCTCCACTCCCCTAAGTGAGCAGAGAAGACAGAGCATTCCCAGAGAGGTGCATGAAGAAGACAGGGAGTAGAGGGGAGGGAGGGCTTGGGGACTGAAGGCAGCAATGACATGAGTCTCAAAACATGGGGTTTTGCCCTGGGATCCCAGAATAGGGGTCTGAATCAGGTGGGTACCACCACACTCAGTCTGACAAGTCACTTCAATCCCAAACAACTGAACTGATGGCTATGATCTGGGAAGTCCGGAGTGCTTATGCTGCCTCCCACCCACCCTTAGCACAGCTGGCCACGTTAAATGTGCCTTCCAATTTCATCCCAGCAGAAGCGGCGGTTCTTCCTATGTTCCTCAGTGTCCCACGCAAACCCCTTGTCTCAGGAAGATCCTGAGAAGGGGATTTGATTTATTAGGCAAACGATTCACTAGGAAGTGTTCCCAGGGGAACCAACAAGGATGGGGGAAGTGGACGTGGAAGAGAAGGAGACTCACAAAGTCTCACCTCACGGAGGGTAACAGACTCAACCTCGGGACTCGTGGGCAGGAGGGTCGGGCTGGCCCTGGAGCCTGCATCCTTCCAGCAGACACTTACCAGGGCTGCTGTGGAGGATGTGCATTTCTGCGCGCTGCTCGCTTTCCTAGCGTCCGTGGGCTGGGTGGCCCGAAGCCTGAGGCCGGGAATGCCAGGTCACCAAGAGCTGGTGTGCACAAACAGGTGAGGGGGCCCAAGGAGACACAGGTGTACGCCCCACTCCTTGGTCAACATTCGCAATGGCTTTTGTTCCTACACTTGACGGCAGATCTCTCCCCCCACCAGAAGTCTGATAAGCAGCACATGCTAATGAAGAGTTGGAACATGATGAATGAATGAATGAATGGCGATGGGATGACTGTCCTCCTTTTCAACTGAAGAAGCTGAGGCTCAGTGGGCAAGTGGCTTACACAGGACCCCACAGGGAGTGAGCAGCCCGGCCAGGATCCTCAGCAGGCCTCTGACTCTGTACCTAGCACTTTTGCTCTTTGCACAGGGCAGGCAATGCTCCCCTCCCCCAGCTCTTTCTCAGAACACCCCAAATATCCCTGACTCAGCTGGGCAACAACTTCCCCTTTCAACCTCAGAGGGATCAAGGCTTTCAAGGAAGTCTGGGAGAGGGGTGAGTGTTTCTTCCTAGCTGCCCCTATAAAGGGCAGAAAGACATTAGGGTGTTCCACAGGGAACCAGGCCCCTTGTCCCCAGTCCCTCTTCTCCTGCACCCCAGATTTCTAAAGATTTGTTTATTTATGCATACAAGAACTGGGCTACAGGCCAGAGGTGTGGGGGTGAGAGGATTCAGCAGAGATAGAGTGGGGAGCAGAACAAGCAGACTGACTGAAATACACTGCTGAGGGGAACAGTTAGATTCATAGGTTGCGTCTTAACCCCTTGTGCCAACAAGGAGGCCCTCCTGCACCCCAGTTTTGAGCTCAGCGCTGCCTTCTCTGCTCTCCAGGTCATGGCAGGTACCACAACCCTTGTCTCCGTCCTCCTGCTCCTGGCCCTGTGTGCCCACTGTCTTGCCCCTGCAGGTAAGACTTCTGGGGATCTCCCAGGCAGGATAGGGGATCTCTCAGAAGGACAGTTGTCTGAGGGCAAGAGTATGGCTGGGATGATATCGTGGAGGATGAGGACTGACCGACCTGCTACTGGAAGGGAACCAGACAGAGAAGGGAACCGCTCAGTGGCTGGTGTGGAGGTGCTTAGTGTTGGGGTGGGCTCATATCTGAAGCCCAGAGTTTAGGGAAGCCTGAGAAGGAAAATGACCCTTTTCTTCCTCCTCTCACCCCCCACAGACTCCGTGGTCATCCCCTCTACCTGCTGCATGAACTTCATTTCCAAGAGAATTCCTGAGAGCCGAGTAGTCAGCTACCAGTTCTCCAGCAAGAGTGTCTGCCCCAAGGCGGGGGTGATGTAAGTACCTCCCCTCTGAGTCCCTGATGGGAGGGGTCTGGGAGACTTGGGTTTACAATGTCACTGAGGCAGAAAGTCAGAGAGCCCAGCCCTGTGACCCTGGGGAAGTCATGTCACCGCTCTGGGCCTCAGTTTACTCAGCCATAACACTAGGAGGGAGATTTAGAGCCAGCAGTTGCCCACTGAGCCCTAAGTGTACACTAGGCATGTTGGGGCAAACAGCATTATCTTTTTATTTTCAAGATTCATTTATTTACACAAGTACCAGGGTACAGGTCAGAGGTGCAGGAGGGTGAGAGAATTCGCCAGAGACAGAGCAGGGAGCAGAACAGGCAGATGGACCGAGGACACTGCTGAGGGAGCAGCGGGTGAGGCAGGAGAGGTCTGCGGCACCATGTGGGTTTCTCCCTGGGCGGTCGGGAATCGAACCTGTGCTGCAGAGGCTGCAGACAGCTCCACAGTGCTGCGCTCAACCCACTGTGCTACCGGGGAGGCCCACAGCATTATCTTCACTAAGCCTCTCAAACAGTCCATGGCTAGAGATGACTATCGCCATTTTAGAGAAAGCAGCTGAAGTTCAGAGAGGTCACCTGCTCAAAGTCACCCAGGTCGGCACATAAGTTCAGTGCTGCCTCTTACAAAAGGCAGTGGGTGTGAACACACTTTACAAACAGTGACATGTCAGAGGAACGTGATATTAGAAAATTTTCCCCAGCTGGCACCAGACCCATGTCCGTGGCCTGGCACCCCAAACTCAGAGCCAGCTTGGGAGATAGTACCTCACTGCACCCTCCTGGCTCTGGCTTCCTGATGGGCCAGGTCCTGGTTGCACCTGGAAGGAGGTTCCCCACTTCTCTCTCTCTCTTTTTTCTTTTTAAAGATTTTTTAAATTTATTATTATGCAAGAACCGGGTCACAGGCCAGATGTGCGGGGGGCGGTGAGAGGATTCACCAGAGACAGAGCAGCAACAGAACAGGCAGACTGACGAAATACACTGTTGAGGGGAGCAGTGGGCTCGACAGGAGAGGTCTGCTGTGCCATGAGTGCTGTTCCGTGGCCGGTGGGGATCGAACTGGTACCAGAGGTTGTGGACAGCTTCGCAGTGCTGCGCTCAACCGCCTGCACCTGTAGGGAGCCCCCCCCCCACTTTTGTCTTAAGGATATTCAATGTGTTTTCTATTCTCCCCCCTTCTCTGTGGATAAAGATTGTGTCTCTCCCTGCATCCATCTGTCCCTCCCTGTCAGACAGGTAGGCTGCTGAACGCGAGCTTGGAGCAGAGACAGATGCTCAGACAGACGTCACAGCAGCGCTCACGAGGAGGCCGGGCAATAAGTCTTCCTCCTTGGGCCTCCGCGCCCACCTCCTCATAAAGTGGCCTCACGTCCCAGCCAGGTCTCAGTGTGCCCTGTCATTCTTCCCACAGCTTCACCACCAAGAAGGGCAAGAAGTTCTGTGGCAACCCTGAGGACCATTGGGTCCAGAGGTACATGAAGAACCTGGATGCCAAGAGGAGAAAGACCTCTGCTGGCACTGCGCCGATGGCTGCCACAGTCAGTGCTCCGAGACGCCCTTGCAACAGCCCCTCCATCTAAGTCCCTGGCCCTCCGCCCTGAGCTCCAGCCCAGGCCTCGCTCCTTGCCAGGCCACTTGGGGTCTGGTGAGCCAGCACATTTAGGGGAAGAACTAATGTTCCTGTTTCTTAGCATCACTCTCAGGGGATGTGTCTCGTCCATAAAAATCCCCAGGCAGCGGAGGCCTGCTGCTTGGAGCGTGGCTCTGGCCTCCCTGAGTGGGGGGAGAAGGTTCCAGAAGGAGGGTGGTCGCAGCTCTGTGTCTTCCTGAACTGGAGCTGCCCCTTCTCTGACTTCCAGTCTCCCTCTGAGTGCAGGTGCACATGAGAGACCCTGTCTACACCTTAGCCTGTCTGTCCATGTAAGGCTGGGTACTCATCTGGCATGTTGGAGATGCTCCAGGCTTGCCCCATTTCTAGCGCTCCAAGTGCTTGCTTCTCATGGGCTATGATTAACAAAGTTGTCAGGAGTCATTGATTTTTGTAAAGCAAGGGACATGGAAGATCAGGATGAGGGGCCAGTCTGAGTAGTTTAATTCTTTTGTGAAGCTACGGCTTCTACAAGATGTTCCACTTTGTGATATGACTTGTTCCATGCTGTTTGGGGGACAGCGATTTGCTCTGCCTTTAAGGTTGGTCTTTCCTAACATTTTGAGGAGATAAGACCCCAGCTTTCTTCCCCCTATGCATGAGAATCTGTGTGGTTTGTTGTAAAGAATGCAGACATACTCGCTTTCCTCAAATGACAATCTGAGTAAAATGTGATTCCCCCTTTGAGGGTGTTGTGTCTTGCCTTCCTTGTCTCCCCTGGATGTTAGGGTTGTAAGCATTGGAGTGCTTGCCCCCAAGAGCACCCTGAGTTGTCTAGCTGAGACCGGGAGGGGGTGAAGTCTGAGCCTAGGGCATCCAGGAGTGGTCTAGTCTGTTCTTGGGGAACCTGTTATTAACTTTGAAAAACTCATACGCACACCTGGATTCAGTTAATGTTTTTAAAATTTTCAATAGAACACCTTGTTGCATAGGAAGTTGTTACAGGTATAGGGGGTCATAAGATTTTAAAAAATGGTCTCTGGCTTCAAAGAATTATAGAGAAAAATACACCCCTCAGACACACACACACACACACATCAAGAGTTGAATGAGTTTAATACCAATCCTGCTTTACCAAGATGTATTTTTAAGCAAAAAAAGAAGCAAGGTACATAAGGGATAGTGCTGTGTGATCCTATTTCTGCGCCCACCCCTGCCCTGCCAAATGCAGAGCTGACTCTTGCACAATGGGAAGGTTAGGGGATTGAAAATCCTCATGTGATTTTTGATTCCCCCAAAACCTAACAAAGTTGTCCTTTGGTGGGCATGGGTGGTGGGGTATAAGGGTTGGTTTCTGGACCTTCTCTCCCCAAAATTTGCCTCTCCAAATCCGAGAGGCTTGAATGCTCAGGTTCACCAATAGACATGCAAACTTGGTTGACTCTGTGGGAAATCACAGATATGAGTTGTATCAGGGTCAGTTGTATCTACTGAAAAAGATCCACTATGTGGGGACCCCCACAGTTCAAACCCATGTTGTCTGAGAGGCAGCTGCGCACATGATTTGCAACCTGATGAGCACACAGACTCTCCAGAGCAGTTGACTATGGCAAGTCAGGACTAGAGTCCAGGGTAGAGGACACACAACTTCGTCAGTACTTTTCTATGTTTTTGAACTTTTTAACTGTGTATTTATCCTTTTTGTAATAAAAATGAGTATAATAAAAGCCGTCAATGTGCTGCCCACCGCCTTTTCTATGGCCATACCACTTCACTGTGCTCCTGACTTCTCCCAAAGCCAGCAGTGTCTCACCTGGGCCAGACACTTCCTCCCAAAGGTCACTCTGTGGCAGACCAGAGAGTGGCAGGGAATGTGCAGCCCCTAGGCAGCCCCCCATCACTGGCCAGTGAGAGTGGCCCCTCACTCATGGCTGCAACTCTTGGGCCGCAAGTTCACGAGTTCTACTCTAGACATTCTGCCTATAGTTTCCCAATCAGCAGCTGGCAACACATGCCTGGTGACTGTCTATCCTCCTTGTCAGTGTCTCTGCAGCAATTACATAAATTACATGAAAACTGATGCCTCTGTGGACATTTCTGCAGATTGTGTCCACTGCTTTCTCCTGTGTCATTTCTCCCATGGTCATTAAATGCCTCTAGAGAAGAAAGCACTGATGGGAGAGATGACTTTGGGTCATCTGAGTAATCTACCAGAAATCCTGGCTTGTTTCTACCAGATCTTGCTCTGGAACGTGAGTCCTGGCCATAGATATCCAGGCAGTGTTGGGAGGTGACACCCTCTTGCCTGGGTAGGACACCAACACATGCACTGAGCCACAAGCTCCCTTTCTCAAATTACCTTGGGAAGGAGTCATTCCAGAGAAGGGGGCATCAGGAGTTGGCTGTGGTCAGGGAAGGACTGGGTTCATTTTGTGACCAAGTTAAGCCAAAGTTGATCCTCATTTGGAGATACCCTGCCTCCAACAAAGCCTGTCCTGTGATTTATTAAAACTGAGTTTAAAGCTCTATCGTAAGCACCTGGATGGTATATCAAGAAGTACAATTATAATCCAAGAGTGGGCGAGGAAGAGAGCACAGAGAGTTCTTGAGTCCCAGGGATGAGAAAAGGAACAAAAAAGACCCAGAAAAGCAGTTCTCAGTCTTACCTGGGCTTCAGAATCAGCATCTGCTTTTAAATGCAGATTCTGGCTCCCCGCCCTATATGGGATGTCTACCCTGCTGGGAAGGGGCCCAGAAATCTGCATTCTTGAAAAAACTGCCTAAATTGGTGCAGCCACTATGAAAATAATATGGAGAGTCCTCAAAAAATTAAAAACTAAGACCTCCGTAGTGACACAGAGGTTAAAGTCTCAGTGCTGTCAAGCTATCGCCAGCCACTGTGGCCTGAGTTCCATCCCAGCCAGGGAGCTACCCACATGGTGCAGCAGACCTCTCCTATCTCACCCACTGCTCCCCTCAGCAGTGTACTTTAGTCAGTCTGCCTGTTCTGTCCCCACTCTGTCTCTAGTGAATTCTCTCGCTCCCCACACCTCTGGCATGTACCCCAGTTCTTGTATGCATAAATAAATAAAACAAATCTTTTTTTTTTGAAGATTTATTTTTATTTTTTTATTTTTTTATAATAAATTTTATATTTATATTCCCCATACAATTTCAACCCCCCCATTTTGACCCCAATCCCTCCCCTCCCTCCACCCACCCCCCAAAAGTGTCTCTGGTACATAAATTTTTGTTGATTTTGATTTTCACTTTCTTATAGTTATTCATTTTCCTGGTCCCTTATTTAAGTTTTCTAGATTCCTGCTATGAGTGAGACCATCCGGTATTTTTCTTTTTCTTTCTGGCTTATTTCGCTGAGCATGATCCCTTCCAGCGCCATCCATGTTGCTGCAAATTGCATGTATTTATCTTTTTTGAATGCTGAGTAATATTCCATGGTGTATATGTACCACATCTTCTTGATCCAGTCATCTATTTTTGGGCATTTGGGCTGTTTCCAAAGCTTAGCTATTGTAAACAGTGCTGCTATAAACATAGGGGTGCAGGTGTTCTTTGGAATTGATGTTTCTGTGTCCTTTGGGTAAATACCTAGGAGTGGAATTGCTGGATCCTGTGGAAGCTCTATGTTTAGTAGGTCCAGAAATCTCCACACAGCTCTCCATAGTGGTTGGACCAGTTTGCACTCCCGCCAGCAGTGCAGGAGAGTTCCTTTTTCTCCACAACCTCGCCAACATTTGTTGTTGCTAGTTTTTTTAATATGTGCCATTCTCACTAAAACAAATCTTTTTAAAAAATTAAAAGCTACCCTGCAATCCCACTTCTGGGTATTTACCTAAAGGAAATGAAAATACCACCTCAGAGGTATCTACACTCCCAAGTTCCTTATAGCTAAAGACATGGAAACAAACCAAGCAGCCATCAATGGACAAGTGGATAAAGAAATGTGGGGTGTGTGTGTGTGTGTGTGTGTGTGTGTGTGTGTGTGTGTTTGTGCATGTATGGAATGGAATGGAATATTACTCAGCATAAAAAGGAATAAAATCTTCCATTTATGACAACATGGATAGACTTTGAGGGCATCCAGATGGAGACTTCTGCCTCCAGACTCCTTGCCCAGGGGCAGAGTCCACTAGTGAGCACAGTTCTGATTCCAGATAGCTGTGGCAAGATAAAGACATCATAAAGTTTTATACTTGTTCAAGGCTTTCAAACTTCTCAGAACTTTATCTTTTTCTTTCCCCTCCTCTTGGAAAACTCCTCTTTTTCTGCTCCTCTGGACTTTTTCACTTCTGCACTGCCTCCCCAGCCAGCTCTCCTACTGGGTTCAACAAGTCTCCATCCAGGGCTCTCAGCAGACAGTGTCCAGGGGAGTCGCTATCCAGGTGTCCCCTTCAGCAGATCAGTTCTTTCAGAAAGGCCACCGCTCCTCTCTTCTCCATCCCTGCTTCCTTCTCAGAAGACCTGCTGGGAGGGGCTGGTTTTGTTTCCAGAATGGTCCTAGTTTAGTTCTAGGTCTTAGCCTTGCAAAGCTATTTATTGCAAAGAATTCCAAGAGCTCTTTCTCCAACTTGACCTCTTTATTAAACGGTAATGAACTAGCTTCCCAGAATTGCAGGCGTGCCCATTTCCAGAAAACCCCTTCAGAAGTCATGAAGTTTGAAGGTCTCCCTGAAAGCTGTGTGCCCAAGTCTCTCAACCCTGCATTCTGCCAGAGACGCACGCCAATCTCTGGGGAGATTATTCTGTTATTGACCACACAAGCGTATGTAGTCTCTTTCCTGGAATGCTCAGGCCAAACAGGACAATGTGGAGACCCAGGCTCACCCACCCACCCCTCCTGCCTGGGCTCCTATGCAATTCCACCTCCACTTCATTTTTGAGTGGCCAAAACAGATCTGCAATTTTAGAGAAGACTTTTGCCACTACCTTTCTCTGGAATCCTCATAATTTTCCTCCTGACTCCCTAACTTCTACATCACATGCCTCCCATCAGCATGCTGTGAGTGTGACCTGGTCACACTGTCACCCAGGGACCCCTATCTGACAGTCACCCGAGGTAACCTCTCAGGAGGTTTCCTGAGAAACGGGAAACCTCTCAGGAGGTTTCCTGAGAACGGGAAAAGCAATCAGTGGTTTGTTCTTGTGTTT